CGTAATTGTACCTGTCTCATAGCGTTCGTATGAGAAAATGGAAGAGATGCCAGTCTTCTTGATTTGTTGTCTTCGTTTAAATGCAATATTGCAATTGAAATCTGCAAAAGGCGTGACGATGCTACGATCAAGGTCGCTTCACGGCAACGGGACAGACATGCTGTATCGAAACGCGTTTTTCAGGTTTGGTATTAAGACAGTTTACATAACTTTATGTCAAAGTTAAGCTAACTGATGTTGAGAACTTGTAGCAAATCAGTACGTTTCAGAACGTTCCTTGGACATTGAGGCTTTTTAACACAATATGTCAAAAAATCAGCGATATGTCTTTTCGTTTTAGAGTTATATTTTTTTAAGTTATCAAATTTTGGGTTTTCACTCAATACTCCTATGCGACTAGACTACCATGCGTTGTGGCCATGTTACAGTTGCTATAAATGAAAGGCAGTGACATCTGAGGGAAAATTAATGCAGAAGCATGGTAAAATGATTATATTTTCCTGTTTCTAAAAGCTGCACTTAGTCTTATAAAGTTCTTTCATAAACATTTAAAAGCTTCATGAAGTTTATCCTTCTTTGAAATAAGAGCAGTTCTTCCTAAATTTACTATGCAAGTAATTGCTTTTGAGACCAAGCCTTAATCAAGCCTGAATGTGGGCGTCTTTAGTATAGTAAAATATAGTAAAAGACAGAAGGATTAGTAATTTCCATTTGATTCCAGTAGCTTCATTGCTTATCCTTAACATATACGCGTATTTCGTCTACAATGTGCAGACTTCTTCATTTTTTTGTATTTTTAAGTTGTTTTAAAGCTGTCCGTTCTTTTCATAAAATTTTTTTTATCAAAATTTAATGAGTTTATGAATTTTTTCCTTCGTTTAAACATGAGCACTTCTTTCTAGTTCTATTGCTTTTGTTATTTCCGACCTTGTGGATGAAAAATGAAGTCAGACTTCAGGACTACGCGCAGCAGCTGGGAGCTGCACTAACCACGGAAGAGCAGCTTGGCGCAGCTTCTCTTGAAGATGGCTGGAGGGACATCCGTTCCGCCATAGATAGTACTGCTGCAGCGGCACTAGGACTGCAATCCCGGACCGAAGAAATGACTGGTTTGACGGCGAATGCAAACTGTTAGTAAAGGAGAAGAATACAGCACGGGCGAAAATGCTGTAACACCGCACGAGATTGAATGTGGAGCGATACAGACAAGCGCGGAACAGACAAAACTCGATTTTCCGAAGGAACGTCAGCAAGAAGACCGAGATCGCGAGGCGATGCAAAATCTGTACCGCGTAAACGACACACGGAAGTTCTATGAGAAGCTAAATAGTTCGCGCAAAGGCTACGTGCCGCAAGCCGATATGTGCAAGTACTTGGACGGTAACCTTCTCACGAACGAGTGTGAGGTGATTGAGAGGTGGAAGCAGTACTATGACGAGCACCTCAACGGTAAAGCAGCAGAAAACGAAGGTGGCACGGCAACAGAGCTTGGAGCACGCGCAGAAGACGACAGGCTACCGGTCCCTAATCTTCAAGAAGTTGAGAAGGAGATCGGTCGGCTGAAAAACAACAAAGCAACTGGTGTAGATCAACTACCAAGTGAGCTATTAAAATACGGTGGTGAAGTACTGGCTAGAGCGCTGCACTGTGTAATTGCCAAGATTTGGGAGGAGGAGATATTACCGGAGGAGTGGATGGAAGGTGTCGTATGCCCAATCTACAAAAAGGGCGACAAGTTGGATTGCTGCAACAACCGCGCGATCACACTGCTAAGCGCCTCCCAAATTCTATGCCGCCGCCTGTCACCATTTGCAAGAGAGTTCGTGGGGCAATATCAGGCGGAATTCATGGGTGCCCGCGCTACCACGGACCAAATTTTCGAGATTCGGGAGGTTCTTCTGAAATGCCGCGAATACAACGTGCCCACACATCATTTGTTCATCGATTTCAAATCCGCATACAACACAACCGATCGAGATCAGCTATGGCAGATTATGCACGAGTACGGATTTCCGGATAAACTGTCGCGATTGGTCAAGGCGACGATGGATCGAGTGATGTGCGTTGTTCGAGTATCGGGGACACTCTCGAGTCCCTTTGAATCTCGGAGGGGGTTACGGCAAGGTGATGGACTTTCGTGTCTATTCAACATCGCGTTAGAAGGTGTGATCAGAAGAGCTGGGATAGACACGAGTGGCACGATCTTCAGGAAGTCTTGGCTTCGCCGATGACATTGACTGACATTATGGCACGGAGCTTTGAGGCGATGGCGGAAACGTACATCAGACTGAAGGCTGAAGCTAGGCGGATTGGACTTGCCATCAACGCTTCAAAGACAAAATACATGAAAGGAAGAGGTTCTAGGGAAGACAATGTTAGCCTCCCACCCCGAGTTCAGATTGACGGTGACGAAATCGAGGTGGTCGATGAGTTCGTGTATTTGGGCTCACTGGTGACCACCGAAAATGATACCAGCAGAGAAATTCAAAGACGCATTATGGCAGGGAATCGTGCCTACTATGGACTCCGGAGGACACTCTGGTCGAATAAAATTCGTCGCCGCATGAAGTTGACTATTTACAAGACGCTGATTAGGCCAGTGGTCCTCTACGGCCACGTGACCTGGACTATGCTCGTGGAGGACCAACGTGCCCTTGGTGTTTTCGAACGGAAGGTATTGCGTACCATCTACGGTGGAGTGCAGATGGATGATGGAATGTGGAGGAGGCGAATGAACCACGAATTGCACCAGCTGCTGGGAGAACCATCCATCGTCCACATTGCAAAAATTTGGCGACTACGGTGGGCTGGGCACGTCGTAAGAATGCCGCACTTCGACCCAGTGAAAATGGTTCTAGAAAGCGGCCCAACATGAACAAGAAGAAGAGGCGCGCAGCGGGCAAGGTGGATCGACCAAGTAGAAGGTGACCTGCGGACCCGTCGCAGACTACGAGGCTGGCGAACTGCGGCCATGGATCGAGTAGGGTGGAGATAACTTCTTCGGACAGCAGAGGACAACAAGGCCTTAGCCTGATTGGTAAGTAAGTAAGTTCTTTCTGAAAGGTTTTGGTTTTTTTGCATAGCTGCAATAATGATTTCGTTAGAATGTAGGGATATCCTTACTTAACTTAACGATATTGGCTAAGTTAGCCCCGTCTATTGGTCCCGTAAACTCTGCTAAGAAAACTTTGGCAATGCCAAACACTCTCTAGTTTAATTATTCGCAACGTCTTCAAGTAATATGGACTATCATTGAAAGTCTTTACAAATTAATAATGGATTAAATTGGAGCGTAAGTATGGTTCCTAATCTACTGTCAAGAGGTTCAGCTTTAGTAAAATATTGCTTGACATCAATCGAATTTAGTTAATATCGAAAAAAATGAAAGTCATCAAATTGAATTACCATTCACCTCGTGGTACCGCTAGATATTCCAAAAATCGTTCCTCCCTTACCGTGCTGCAACGGAAACACAATTTACCCCGTCAATGTACTAAAATTCTGACAAATGCCCCCAACACGCAAATGAACCATTATTACCCGTGAACTCGAATAACGAAAACCTGCAGTGCTGACCCCGTTCACTGGATTCGATTTGTCCCGGTCAATATTTGATGAACCACGATCGATCGCAATTAGGTACGTAAGTCTTGAAAATTGACAACCATCACGTGCCTTCGGCAGAATCATCCCCGTTAGAAATGCATGCCCAAAAAGGACCTTTACTCCATGAGGTTGTTTTTGTTTGCATCTTCGGCATGCCTTGAAGGGCAAATAAATGACAAAAACCCAGACCACCCCCGGCCAAATTAAACCAGATTTATGCAAATGGAATTCTTTCGTGTCCAAATGAGTGGCGTCTTCTGGTGGGCATCAACTCCAACTTCCAGTATCTTGCCCCTCTCGTCCGTCAGTCTAGCTCTGCTTGGCAATTTCGGAAGTGGTTGTGTTTTGGCATTCCTGGGTGTTTCTGCAAAACTCAACTCGTTATGTGGCTCGTTATGAGCTAGAATTGCACTTTGCCACAGTGAAAGACGAGAAATAGGAATCTCCTCCTCGGCTAGAAGAGGATACTCGACTGCGATGCGATGCTTGACAGGATGTATTTTCGCTTCGAAGTTTCGAAGGAATGTACTTTTATGTAGATGTGATGCAACTTTGGGTGGTTTAAAGCGGATGGGGACGATGAATTTTTGTGGGAAATCTTGGGCAAATTCCATTTGGAGCCAATTTTGGAAGCAGTTCGTCTCAACCATTCCACAATCAATCACATCACAGTAGAATCGATTATATGTGGTGAATAATCTGCCTGCATCTAAAATACGTCAATCGGATACCGGAATGGGTCATCATAAGTCATTTTCTCACGGAATCCATCACGATAAACATATCCATCTTCCCGACTCTCAGCTAATGATAAATGAACCTCTATCGTTCAAATGTCGTAATTCGTCTAATTTCCCTCGCACTTTTTCCAACCAATCGCCAAATGAAAACAAACCCATGGAAATAAAACATCAACCATTTCCGGGGATCCTTCCGCCGGCCGCGGACAACAAGCGCAGAGCCTTGAAATGGGGGAACAAAATTGATTCCCTCGTGTATGTTTAACGCTATATATGCACCTACCTACGGTATCAAACCACAAACGTTTGTGTTATGCCAAATGGAAGTGTATATTTTCCCGTATATTTGTGTCCGCTTGTTGTTTTATGCTCCCGGACTTCCAGACGGAGTCTGGTCTGGCGCCAACGCAGATTGAGTTTGTTTTTGTCCCCGCCGAGGTCGGTATTTGCTTACCCAAACCAATAACAACGACGACGATGACGACGGCACACGTGTGGGACCATAATTAAATGGAATTTTTACATCATCAATTTTTCACCACAGCTGCTTCCTACACTGGAAAAATCAAGCCACGACAGCAATTGTCCTGTGTTGTTGTGTTTTCCGATAAATAATTTTCGTTTTTTTGGCTCTCTCTCTTTTTCTGTTTTCAGGATCCCTGGCATCGAATAGCAGCAAAAGGATACTGCACCGGCACCAGCAGCTCATCGGCGTCAGGCGAACAACAGAATCCCAGCAGTAGTGTCAGTGAAGGTAAATGATAAATGAATTGGAATATGGAGGGGTGCTGTTTCTATTTTGGTCCGGATAAACTTGGTATTGCTCATTTTGCTCCACTGAACAGTATTTTTCCCCACAGGTCGCAGAAATGAATTGTTTGAAAGCAGTAGCAGGTTTAGAATTCGAACTCTTAAATGTTAAGATGGTCAATATTAAAATAAAATGACCAGTGCACAGTGGTCCAGTATGGTAATTTAGCAAGAAAGTAGTCCTAGTTTTGCTTTAAGGTTAAGACGATTAGTGTTTTCGGTGAAATTGTTGTGCTTAAAATTTAGAACATCAGGGGGGTCCTCAAATTAATTGAAATTCGAAATCATGGTTGCCAGCGAGGCGGGGAAACCGGGAAATAGCCTGGAATTTTAAAAGAATCCGGAAAAACCAGGAAAAACTCCGAAATTTAATGAAAGAACCGAGAAAAATAAATAATCCGTACCATACGAACAAATTTTTACGTAAGAATTTCTGAATATACAATCAAAAAAGAGCGAGTCCTTACCAAAAACAATGACTACTCTGGAATGTCGGCAGGAGAATGCGTAACGCGGCATCGTCGGTCAACGAGGACAAGGAGTACTCTAACAAGTGCATTTTCGACTTCGCGCAGAAGGTTTGTCCCGATTCGATTCCGGTTCCATGCAACACTCGCGATCCGCCACTGGAAAAGGATGACATGGACTCCCCGTTTTCGATGGTAGAATTCTCAATTGCTCTTCTTTCATGCAATAACTCGGCTCCGGGAATGGATCGAATCAAGTTCAACCTGCTCAAGAACCTCCCAGACGTCACAAAGAGGCGATTGTTGAACTTGTTCAATCGATTCCTGGAGCTCAACATTGTTCCGGATGATTGGAGACAAGTGAGAGTTATCGCCATCCAGAAGCCCGGTAAACCCGCGTCGGATCATAATTCGTACCGTCCCATCGCGATGCTGTCGTGTATTCGGAAGCTGTTAGAAAAAATGATTCTTCTTCGTCTGGACAAGTGGGTTGAGGCGAATGGCTTACTCTCAGATACGCAATTTGGATTCCGTAGGGGCAAAAGGACAAACGACTGCCTTGCGTTGCTTTCAACTGAAATCCAATTAGCCTATGCTGAAAAACAGCAGATGGTTCAGTTTTCTTGGACATTAAAGGGGCGTTTGATTCTGTTTGCATCGACATCCTTTCGGACAAACTCCATGCGAGTGGGCTTTCTCCGATTATTAACAATTTCCTGTTTAATTTGTTGTCCGAGAAACGAATGAGCTTCTCTCATGGCAACACGGAAATTGCACGAATCAGCTACATGGGTCTTCCACAAGGCTCATGTTTAAGTCCCCTCCTGTACAACTTCTATGTCAAAGACATTGATGAATGTCTGGCCCAAAATTGCACACTAAGGCAGCTTGCAGATGACGGCGTGGTTTCCATGGTTGGACCAACAGCACCGGACCTGCAAGGACCATTGCAAGATACCTTGGATAATTTGTCTACTTGGGCAATGAATCTGGGTATCGAATTCTCTCTGGAGAAAACAGAGATGGTTGTTTTTTCTAGGAAGCTTTATCCAGCACTGTTTCAGCTTCAACTTATGGGTAGAACAATCACTCACAGCATGTCGTTTAAGTATTTAGGTGTCTGGTTCGATTCCAAGTGCACTTGGGGAAAATACATAGCGTACCTGAGGCAGAGATGCCAACAGCGAATCAATTTCCTTCGATCCATTACCGGAACTTCATGGGGTGCCTATCCGGAAGATCAGATAAGACTCTACAAGACTACCATTCTCTCGATTTTGGAGTACGGTAGCTTTTGCTTTCAATCGGCGGCGGGGACGCACATATTGAAGCTCCAAAGGATTCAATATCGTTGCATTCGAATCGCGCTAGGTTGTATGCAATCGACGCATACCATGAGTCTTGAAGTTGTTGCGGGCGTCCTCACCTTAACAAATCGTTTTGCAGATTTATCGTTCCGGTTCCTCATCCGCTGTGAAGTCATGCTAGAGCGGAATCCTCAAACACGATTCATGAGATTGTACTACGAGTACATGACTCTGGACATCGGCCCCTCCTCGTTCAACCCCAATCGCGCTGTCTCCCATCATTTCAGTTGTTCTTCCGTGAGATTCGATCTCACAATGAGGCAGGAGATTCAAGGAATTCCAGAGTCTCACCGTTCCCTGATTGTCCAAACTATGTTTGCGAACAAATACCGCCACGTCCCCACCGAGAAGAGATTTTTCACAGATGGGTCGGTGATAAATGCGTCCACTGGTTTTGGAGTATTCCACGATCTTCATAGCGCCTCATACAAGCTTCAAAAGCCGTGTTCGGTATACGTTGCTGAACTTGCAGCTATATCGTACACGCTAGAGCGTATTGCCTCACTTCCACCTGACCATCATTTCATTTTTACGGATAGCCTAAACTCCCTGGAGGCTATGTGTTCAATTAGGCCGATGAAGCACTCGGCGTATTTCCTCCAGGAAATACGATCGTCATTGAGTGCTTTATCAAACAGCTCGCATATCATCACCTTGGTATGGGTCCCTTCTCATTGCTCTATCCCGGGCAATGAGAAAGCGGACTCGCTGGCCAAGGTGGGCGCTATGGAAGGCGATATTTACGAGCGTAGAGATGAACTAGCCTAAGGCTAAAAATCTCTTTGATAAAGCCTTAAAAAAAAAAAAAAAAATTTCGAGCGACAAATCGCCTACCACGAATTTTTCACGATTTCTCGTCAGCAAGTCCTCGCCAACTGGCAACAAAAGTGGAATGATGGTGATCTGGGAAGATGGCTATATTCTATTGTCCCACAGGTGTCGATCAAACCCTGGTTCAAAGGGTTGGATATGAGTCGTGATTTTATTCGTGTAATGTCCAGGCTCATGTCCAATCACTGTTCGTTAAACGCCCACCTCTTCCATATTACGCTTGCCGACAGCAACTTGTGCACATGTGGAAACGGTTATCACGACATCGAGCATGTTGTTTGGTCCTGCTCCTTGCATCATGAGGCGAGATCCGTTCTGTGTAATTCCCTTAGGGTCCGAGGAAAACAACCCTTTAAGCCAATTAGAGACGTCTTGGCTTGCCGTGATATCGACTTTATGAAGCTTATTTACGACTTTCTTAAAGCTGTGGATGTATGTGTTCAATGTTTTAGTCATCCTTTACGTTTAAGTTTTAAATTAGTTCAAAATGCTTTCCCTTGTCCTCCCTCCAATGATCAATAAATGTAATCCCTAATCTCGAGTAAGCCGCGAGTAATCGGCCCCCGTTCTACTAACATTAGTTGTAAGAAAATGATATTCACACACAATCATGTTAAAAATATTCGGCTCCGCAAAGCTTACCCATTTGAGCCTTGACTAATAAATGGATTATAAAAAAAAAACAATGACTTGTTCTATTTGCTGTTTAATTCCCATTCAGTTTCCCGACTTATTTTTTTGTGGATTTAATCATTCAGCAATATTTCAAAGCTATGTTTCGTCTTATTCCAATTCCAGATGTACTTAAAGTGCTTGTGCCCTAAAAGAAAATATTGAAGATTCCAGACATTTTGGAAATATATTTGTAAAAACTGAATCTGAACCTATCATTTTCGGGTTTTTTTTTTATTATTCCAAATCAATCCTTCCTATTTTATTCAAAATTCCCATGATATGAATTCCAGAGTTTACTTGAAATTCTGCTTAATCTCCAGACAACTCTCCAAGAAATCAAAAACTTAAAATTTCCTCTGAATTTCATTTGGAATTTCCTTGATACCCCGTCTAAGAATTTGAATGGAATCCTTCTGAGATTTCGATTCCTATGAAATGTTACTCAACATTTTCTTTTAACTCTGGTCAAAACTCTCGAAATTTTCTTTGAAAACCCCTTGGTGTTTTTTTTTAAATTTCTTTCGCCATTTTCTTGAAATCAATTCACAAATGAATTTATGCCCTGAACACTCGTAAATTTCCATTTAATTCCACTACCTTATTTGCTTATCCTTGACATATACGCGTATTTCGCCTACAATTTGCAGACTTCTTCAGTATCTTATTCGAATACTGGACTACTGTGAATTGCTAGCAATAAGCTATGAACGACGGAAATCTATTAATGCATTTAATGATTTTTTTTAATTTTTTTAAAACACAAATTTTGATCACCTAATTATGACGTTTGGACCACTGAATCAAAAGATTTAGTCATTTTAAGGTAATAAACAAGTATTTTTTTCAAACCAATATAACTTGTCATCAATTTTTCCTTAAAATTGACAATTTTCTAATTCAAATATCTCGAGAGGGATTCCATCCAGAATGAGCTAAAAAACCTGAAATCGTGCTCGACCATCTTCGATTTGGATGATACTTTGCCCATATTTTCAGTATGATATACCAAGTATTTTCCGCAGTAGAGGAGACCCTTTTGACTCAAGGATAATTTTTGAAAAGGGCCTATGTGTTTTTGCACACATACTTTTAAAAGAAATGTAGGTCGAATACACTTGGTTGCAGAAAAAAAATTACTAAGAAGGAGTTGTAGGAAACTAATAAGGCTTTATAAAAAAAATATACGCGGATTTTTTTTTTTCATTTTTTTACAAAAAATATTAAAAATAAACCTCAAAATTCAAATAACAAAAAAAACGTATTTTTGATTTTTTTTTATATTTTTTGTATAAAAATTTGAATAGAAAGCCAAAGTTTTGAAAACAACTCTAGGATGGACAAACTTTTAACAAAAAAGTTTTTCTAAGAGCAACTTTTGATGCATTTTTGAAAATTTCATTATTTACGGAAAAATGTTCAGTTTGATGTTAGTATATGATTATAAAAATCATTTCAAACGATAGTGCTCATATCGATAAACTTCCTAAATATAACCGTTTTCGAGATATTTCAAATTTACTTTCATCAAAATCATTTTTTTGTAGAAAATAAGCCATTTCCATAAGTTAATCGTGATTCTCCATCAGCATTGATAAGTTTAGCAA